TTAACCCCTACTCAAATTCGGTCTGCGGTAATAAATGGCCATAAACTCTTTTCGCTCCCCTGAAACTTTGCAAAACATACAATAAATACCTTCAACAACGTCACTTGGTCATCTTGCATCAGTAGATGAAACCCGGGTATGCCTTTCGCGAAGTTGACCACGCTTCGAATGGCGGGCAAATACTTGTCAGACATTTTATCACAGTTCCGCAACGATGGATTGAACGGGCAAGCCTTAAAAACAACGGTAAAATAGAATTATGTAAGACACGTTATAGTAATAGGTATGAAACAAAGCTTGTTCGTCGCATGTTACATTTATAGCACTAGAATCAGCGGCAAGTTGTAAAATTGACTCGCTATGAAACGAGAAATTTCAGACATGTCAGAAAACAAGCCGTTTAGCATGCATGTGTCAGAATTATCACCTATGCAATTCCAGGAAATGAATAGGCATCTTTGTGTTTTATAACTCGAAATGCCCCCAAGAGCAGAATTCACGGGCGGAGTACAACGCCGAGATGCGCCAGACAGTGCGGATCATCAAATGCCATGCAGTTCTCACCTGCTCAGATAACAGCCATGAACAACAAGGGACAAAAGGACAGTTCAATACGCCGTGAAATCTGGTGTTGAAGGATTTATGTAGCATTGACATTCTCCGACGTACGAACGTATTTTGAAGCTCAAACTTCGTGTTTCGATGAATGTTCATTTTTGTTTTAAACGATACGTCAGTAAGTCAGTCTGATTCATACATCAGTACATTGGAAACAGTTAAACAGGCCAAATTTGAGCGGTTATTTTCCTGACACAAAGGCGAACTTTTCGAATAATTAAAAAAGTGTTTCGATATAGTACCTCAAAGAATATCTCCCAACTGAGGCCCAGTTAAGAAGTCCAAAGCGGAAAAGGAACATACAGTTTTACCAAGAACATCGAACTGAGTCTAACCAGAAAACGTTAAAATCACGTGACGAAGCAGAATATTAAAACAATCTTTCCAGCTCTAGTATACTTTGACTTTAACGACTGAGCCGCAGCTGATCAGTGCACAACCAAGAGGCTAAGCAAATTGTGATGACGTTCCTTGGTTTTTCCAAGCCTTTGCTGCATCATGAGAACCGCTAAGAAGCAGTATAGAATCTGAATAGTAATCGCTGACCTAGAAACTTCAGAAGTCTTTGAAAAATCCGTCGCAGTGAAGATTCTTTTTGCCAAAATATGGAAGTTAATAAATCTTTTGAGTTACGAATTGGTTCGTAACAATAAAGTTTTCTTACTATGCCGTACGGCCTATTAATCGTTGATTTGTCTGCCATTTATTTGGTTATTTTATACCTATTTACCTATTTGTCTATTCATATGTTTATATGACTACTCCTCGAACTCTCTCCAACTGCCCCTCCACTTCTCTATGTATTTATCTGTTTATATGCTTATCCGTACATCTATTCTACATTTTCATCCATCTAGCTACTATAACTCCAATCGACTTTCAGAAGATTACTTACTGTAGAAACTTTCTCCATGATTTTGGCTTTCTGCCAATCAGATAACCTCTGCGGGTGCACTCCAGCGCACAATCGTTTCGGTACTAGCTGTAACTGAGGTATGCATCATTCGATTTTTCTTTAATCATCTTAATCCCCACAATCATGATATGAATTTGTTAAGAGCGTCACGCCATCTTGTGAGTCCCTGATCCGGTTTTCTGATCACGTGGTCAAAAAAGCAACCGCGGTCCGTCGATCCGCAGAAGCCGCGGCTGAAAACGGAGCATATCTGGCATTGTACAGTTTTGAAATATTCTGAACCTTGTTACCGCTCCAGTCATCTCACAGTACGTCATCGTATCAACTTTTTTTCTTGACGTTGCGCTTTAGTCGATATTCAGTCGATGATCATACATACATGAGTTAGTGAAAAAATAAGTGAGTCGGTTGGTTCCACGAGTTCAAGTAAACATCGTCTTTCAAGCAGTATTTGAGGCATAAGAAAGGACTAGCTTAGCCACAGGTTATGAAGAATCCTTCAAATTCAACAGTGGCAGAGAAAAAACTAGAGTAGTAACCCTATCAGCAAACTGGCGTTTCAGACAACAGCGAAATCACTGATGATTATAGTTGATAATAAGCTACATTGCTGTTTGTATGCTATCTCGACAGGCTGGAGGGGTTAGAGTGTCTAGCTCACCCTAAAAGCACTGTTGGTTAGAGCATTTCTACCCTTGACAGGGCTTTCCATGCGGGGTCAGGTGAAAGTAAAGTTTAAACCAGCAGAATTCCATTCCCTACGTAACATAGGCTTGACACTTAGGAGCTATCAAACCGTATTCTCTTTATCGAGGGTAAACAAAGAACAGGTTGAACCTAAGGTGCAGGAATTCGTTCAGAATGCATGCCACATGTTCTCTGCAGAAATCAGTGGACCAGACTGCCATGTCATACTGAGTGCAACGCAGATGACGAAAGGCACCTCAGAGATTCTCAGTGCACCAAGTGGTCCATAAGAATAACCGTGAGAAATTGGAACATCTTCTTGCATAGAGCAATTGTTTGTGTCCTTAAAAGATATGCTTTGCCATGAATTTCTGAAGACACCAGAAGAATTATCATTATTACTCTCTGCTAAAATTTTACAGAGTACACCCCTTCAACGTTTAACGGCTGTCAGCAGGTGAAGTAGAAATTGTGCGGACGGCTTCAATAGACCGTAAAAATGACCTTGAAGAAGTAGACCGTCGAAAGTACTCATTTAAACGTCGTTGTCGCCGTCTTCGATAGACACCTGACAGCAACCTTTCTCAATCATTTGCTCAAATGGAGGTCGGGAACAAAACCAGCATCGGCATGCGTAAGAAACCTATTATAACAATTGATAAAGTAAATTTTCATACGACAGTTTTAAAGTAAATTGTAACTAATTACGCCCATCGTAAAATATCGCTTGGCAACGCATCACTGCGTTTCCATGCCACTGGCAGTTTTTGCCATCAGTTACTTACGAATGAACCGTCAGAAGACCAGTGAACGACTCTAGGACTGGATAGACGATTCGGGTAGCTTGAATCGATAATCAAGTCTGCATTTTAGTGGAGCTTGTAAGACAAGCTTAGAGAAATGCTGAAAGACGGGAACAAGGGTAACAGGATTCATGCAAATTACTACCGTACAAATTACTAACGCAATAAACCTTATTTGCCGCTGGAAGAATTGATGACATGACCTCATGCACAGTTTTGGTGTTCGATGTTAGAGGCTAGAAGTCTTTTGCCGCTGTCCAGTTCTGGATGTCATCCGTTCAGCTTGTTCTAGACGTTTAATTCGCTCTACGACCGGAACTCGTCATTATCCTCTGGAAACTCACAGAACGTTACTGAAAGATTTCATTTTATGTTTGCTGCATGTATATCAAATTGTCCTCCACAAAAATCTGTCCAAAGCATCCCGTTTGCCATGGTAGGCCAGAAGTAATCGCGGGGGACTAACAAAGGGCATGAAATTAAGTCCAAACAGTGGTTCCAACGTCATGTGAGGTAATTTATTGAGGAAAAAAGGATACTTTAAGTAAAGCCATACGGAAAAGACTGGAGACAAAAGACAACAAATATTATTTCGCATTGAGTCATGACCCCTTCGAATGGACGGCTGTGATTCGGCGAGACTGAGCAAGAATCAAATGATGTCTGGTCGCGGGATTAAGATGGTCAAGACCTGAAAAATCGACAGTGTCAGAAGCTAATCAGTTGTTCTATCGCTTGTCTTAAGGGTGGAATTCATTTGCGGCTTCTCACATCTGATGACGTTGCTCCTAAAATCAGCAACTCACACACACAATGGAGAAAAATTAAAGAATCATCATACGGTAGCAAATAAGAGTAGCAAAGGTCACTTCCATTTGTTACTACGCATATACTAAAAGCTTGCCATGAACCCAGATCATGGGCCGAAGTATGATCGATCATTGAAGTAATCATGATTAGACACTGCAAACAGATATACTTTAAAAGCAAGGGTGATCAACAATATGTGTGGGCTTCAAACTTATTAACCATACGGACAGAAAGATAAACCTCCTTAGCCTTACCAAACTTCTACCTTAAAAGCTTTCATTAGACACGAACTGAGAAGTCGGTAGACCACATTATTTTTGCGTTCTTTATTATTAACCGTCTTAGGCCGTTTTTCAGCATGTTCATCAATATTAGAGCAAAATTCTCTACCCCGCAAGATAATGTTCCAGCTGAATAATTACAACATTATTCCTTGTAATAATTTCTAAAGAAATTATTACTGTCATTTTAAAATGCGTGCAGCACTTTTCATGGTCACCAGGTCACGCATGACATACAAACACCCTTGGATGCTACAGGATCCTAAATTGTATGAAGTTATTAGCCGGTTAAAATTTCATCGTCTTCTTCTAGCAGACCATAAGAGTCATTAATGTAACTGAAAACTGCAAATACATATTTGAAAATTACAAATTCTCATGAGCAAAAGTTTGCCTGCAATTTAGAAGAATTATTATCGGCTTGCTATAAGAAAGTCCATAGATCCAGTCATCATAAGGGAGAAAAACCGGCTGTTAAAGTAGGACGGACTGCCTCTGTCTTAGTCGCTATAGTAACTGAGATGTCGCGTGATGGGGCTTAATAATGGTAGACAAAAATAAGCTCTAATGTACAAAAGCATTTGTAAGGATGAATATACGGTCGATATAACTACTTCAAACTGAAAGGAATAGTACGCGCCTGGGTACCGTGTTTTCTACGAACCGTATTCTCTGTTGATAGAGCAGATATCACGAAGATGTGCTTCAGTTCTTCATGCTTACTTGTGAATAACTGTTAAAAACTATATTTTAATCTTATGAAGAAAAGGTTTGATCACCGTATTTTTTACTTTGTTCATTTGAAAGGCGAATACCGATAAACTGATCATTGTCAACGGTGGTTTGACAGATCAGGAAATCTTTGTTATAAATTTGCTTGCCTTGAAATCAAAACAAGATTCTTATATTTTGGTTACCACCGGTTCTTCGGTCAGCTTGAGGTAGATAGAGGGAGTTACTGTCATATTCTTTTCCTTTGACGCTTAGCAGCAAAGCTCAGTGTTTAAATTAGAAGTTCACTGGAGTGCAGCTTCCAATTTTTTGTAAACTTTAGCAGCCCAATCGCTCAATTTGTAGATATCAGTAATATTACTGTAAGTGTCAAGGAGCATGCCCCG